ACCTCTTGCCAATATGCGTTTTGTGCTATGAAAATAATGCAAGTAAAAAAACTGAAAAAAAATTATGCGAAAAAAAGACGATGAGAGGAAAATACGAAAACGAAAAATATTAAGGCACGACGACGGGTGTTTTTTAAGGAATCAAGTGCCAATAGTTTTTGCCTTGCACCTCAAGCTTGGGCAGAAACCCACCAAACAAATTAGGCTTCTGTTTCAACCACATGAAGCTGGCCTACGGTGAAAAGAAAGAGGGACCTGGATGAAGGCGGTTTTGCCGGACCCAGCCATGCCAAGCACGATTATCGTCAGATTGTTGCTCGCTGATACTGTCGACGAAGATGTGCCGGCGGCGCCAGACGCTGCTGCTGCTTCTGCTGTTGCTGCTATTTGTGATGACGATGGTCCACTCATTTCTGCCATCCTAAACCTGTAAGTTCGAAAATCATCTAAGACCCACGTACGTCAGCAACTGCACCAACGCCAACGACCACGTGAATGTAGCGGCAGCAATGCCACCTGACAGAACAACCTACAACAACCCCCGCTTTTCTCTTGCCCATCCCTACTTTCCCGTACTATTTTCTATTGCCCGCACTCTCAATCTCTCATTTCCCGTCAAATTTCCCCATGCAATTTGTGCAGGCTAACAGCTGTGAATTCGGCAACTATTAAAACTCGAAAATTTGATTGGCCCTCTCAGCTGAGACCCACTGACTGGTGAACGTTCCCCTCGGCCGGGTGGCGTCGGTTTGAAAGTTATGGGCAGAAAAAATGGGTGATGCAGATTTGCAGTGCAGGGGGCCAGGACAATGGAGGGGCTGGCATATTGTTAGTTGAAGAATGCAGGGGAGGAAAGGAGGGAAGGATAAATCCCTCCAAAATCCCGTAGAAACAAAGCTCGATGCCATCCCCGTCCAACCAATCTAGCTTCTCTCCCCGCTCAACTGATATCTTATGTTTCTGTCCCTGACATTCATAAAATCCCGCATTTTACTACTCCCCTGCTTTATCTAAGCCTAATCGTCGTGTGTGGGAGAAATCCGTCC